CGATGCTTGGACTGACTCTTGCCTCTACCACGGTTGCTTCCTCTTTCATTCCTTCTTCCTCTGCCTTCAGTACTCAACAGTGCACTCGAAGAATCCCCTGAACTTCTGCGTCTGATGTCTTCACCTAGAATCAAGTCCCGAATTCCTTCAAAAGTAAACTTAGTAGTACCAGATGCACTACTAACTGCAGTCACTGTTCCAGACCAACTGTCAGGCAAAGAAGATAAAAGTAGCAACGCCTGAAGTTCATCATCAAACTTAATTCCAACTGATCCTAACCGAGTTATGACTGAATTAAACTGGTTGATGTGAATGGTAACTGAAGCACCCTCCCTCATTCTGGTGTTAACCAACTGTCTGATCAAAAACACCTTGTTCAATGCTGAGGGTTTCTCATACATATTCGACAAAGCTTTCATTAACCCATGCGTAGTCGTTTCATTGACTATGTTGAAAGCAACACTCTTCGCCAATGACAACCTAACCACTCCCAAAGCTTTCCTGTCCAAAATTGCCCAATCTGCATCACTCATCTTTTCTGGCTTTTCTCCCGATAACGTTTGGTACAAGTCTTTCTGATAAAGAACATCCTCGATTTGCATCTTCCAAAACCCAAAATCACTTCCATCAAACTTTTCAATCTTTATCTTTTCATCTGCCATTGTTTCCATACACGGCTGAAAACTGATCTGAGATTGAAAAAACCAATAACGAACTAACCTTGGCAGCGGCTATTCGGAACCCTAGCAGCGGCGGCTAAACAAAACCCTAGCAGCAGCAGCTGTTCACAGAGGCGGTGCGGTTACTGTTCACAACAGTACAGACCGTATTCTGCAGCGGAAACTATGACGGTGGCGGAGCTGATCTTCAAACCCTTCGAAACCCTAATCTTCGATTTGAACCTGATCTCCACGAACCCGAGGGAAGACTTCAACGATCACGAACCTAAGGCTCTGATACCAGTTGTTGGGGTATCTATGAATACTGAATAGCAAACCACAACCAAACAAGAACACACACACCAGAAATCAAAACGGAGAAAAACGGAACACAAGATTTATAGTGGTTCGGTCGGCTGACCT